CCCCCCCCCCCCCCCCCCAACAAAAAGAAAACATTAACTAAAAGTGGAGAAGGAAGTGGAGGAAGGGTAAGAGAGAGAGAATGAAGGGGAAATGTGGAGGAGGGTAAGCAGAGAGAAGTTGTGAAGAAAGAAAGAGAGTTGGACTTTTATGTAAATATTTTAATGGGAAAATCCTCTTTTAGCCCAAAGATTTACCCTCACTTATTTAAAAACTCATCCACTTTTCTAAACCCCAATAAACCCATTGTACCCACATGACTTAGTTTTAAACCCAATGTCTATTATACCTCTCTATCTTTATACTGTATTTTTCCTAAAATTGAAAAACCCAATATTGCTCTTTCTCTCTTCTTCTGATCATCGCTAACAGCAGCAATGGCGACGATAGCCGGAGAAAATAACCCCTAATTTGGTACTCATCTTCAATTACTCTCTCATTCTCTCTCCTCCATTAATTTCCCCTCTCTTCTTGAGAAATCTCTCTCCTCCATTAATATTCTATTTCCTTATGTGGGTCTTCATTAGATTTGAGCCCAAGGTACTCTCCAGCTCAAAACCTCTTGTTCTTTTTAATTTGTATGGAGTTTTTGACGAAGTTGAGAAATTATGAATTCATGAACTATACGTTATTATGTTTGTTTATTGACTTTTGATAGACTTCGTCAAAGTGTGAGAGTAGATTTGTGGTTATCTAATGGTTGAAGACACACTGTAGTGGACAACTCAAAAAAAAGACACTAATCCTACATCAATAGCTTGTTAACATTTTAAAATTTTGGGTTTTCCAATACTGTATGTTAACATTTTGAAAATTTTGTTTTTTTGGCAATAGCTTGTTAAAGATGTATTGTTCTTATAAATTGATGGATTCTTATCAAGCTTATGCTTCAGGAAAGGGTATGTGCATAACAATTTTGCTCATATATATCTATGTTTTGGTGACTAGGTTGATGCATAGAAGGTGTTTGATGGAATGACAAAAGGGATATAGTTTTTTGGGCCACAATGATTAGCGGTTATGCTATATTGCTGTTGGTTGAGGAGGCAATAGATGTGTTTGATGAAATGTCCAAGAGGAGTTTGGTTTTGTGGATCGCCATGATCTTAGCTCATTGGTATGCCTTCCTACGCCCTCCGGTTGCTCCTCACCATTTTCTATTGTCCGCCATGATCTTAGCTCATTGGTATGCCTTCCTACGCCCTCCGGTTGCTCCTCACCATTTTCTATTGTCGCCAATACCTAACGTAATGCACAGCTACCCCTCAGAAACCATTCGTCAATGCACACTAATTTCCAATCAAATACATGAGAGAATCCCCCACTCTTGGCATTCGATCAGATCTTCGCATTGCTATCACATTGCAACCCAAACGGCAAATCAACTACAACCTGCAATATGATATACCAAGTAGTATCCAATGTATCGTGTTGTATGAAATTTTCTATATTATGTATATATAGATGATTTGTGTGTATATTGTATCAAATGCACTATCTAATGTATCATGTTGTATAAAATTTATTAGTGTATCTAGTAGAAATGTATCTAGTAGAAATGTATACAACGTTTCGATAGTGGTGATTTTGGATTATTTCCATTCAATCTTCATGGATTATTTTCATTCAATGTTATGTGCTTGAGTTTAGTAGTTGATAGATATGAATATATGTAATGAACTGATGCACTGATTGAACTGAAGAAGTTTTGATGGTAGGTTGTGGTAACTACAGCCTATTGATGCACTGATTGAACTGAAGAAGTTTTGATGGTAGGTTGTGGTAACTACAGCCTATTGGGCAATATTATGTGTCGCGTGACCAATTATCCACCTCGACGAGGGGTACTCGCTCAATTTTTTAGCTTTTGATAAAGTATAGCACTTTATGGGAAAGTATAATAGCTTATTGATGAAGTATAACACCTTATGGTAAAGTATAGCACCTTATGGCAATAGTATAGCATATTATCGATAAAGTATAGCACCTTATGGTCGCTGGAAATTCAGCAACTTATTGCGTTGCGATAAACCAAATCAATTTTGTTAGGGCCATGCAAACACTCGATGACCTACGTTATGTGTCGCGTGATCAATTATCCACCTCGACGAGGGATCCTCCCTCAATTTTGAAGCTTTTGGCAAAGTATAGCATTTTATGGGAAACTATAGCACATTATGGCCAAAGTATAGCACTATATGGCAAATTATAGCACTTTATTGGTAAAGTATAACATCTTCTTGGCAAAGTATAGCACCTTATTCTCTCTGGAAATTCAGCACCTTAAATTGTCTGAAACCAAATCAGTTTTTTTCACCACAACGCAAACACTCGATGACCTACGTTACATGTTTATTGACCAATCATCCACCGTGACGGGGGTCCTCGCGTAATTTTGAAGTTTTTGGAAAGTATAGCACTTTATAGGAAAGTATAGCACCTTATGACCAAAGTATAGCACTATATGGCAAAGTGTAGCACTTTATTGGCAAAGTATAGCTTCTTATTGGCAAAGTATAGCACATTATGTTCTCTGGAAATTCTGCACCTTAAGTTATCTAAAAGCAAACCAGTTTTTTTCACTGCAACGTAAGCACTCGATGACCTACGTTACGTGTTTATTGACCAATCATCAACCGCGACGGGGGGTCTCGCGCATTTTTGAAGCTTTTGGCAAAGTATAGCACTTTATGGGAAAGTATAGCATCTTATGACCAAAGTATAGCACTATATGGCAAAGTATAGCACTTTATTTGCAAAGTATAACACCTTATTGGCAAAGTATAGCACCTTATGCTCTCTGGAAATTCTGCACCTTAAGTTGTCTAAAACCAAATCAGTTTTTTTTCACCGTAACGCAAACACTCGATGACCTACGTTACGTGTTTATTGACCAATCTTCCACCGCGACGGGGAGTACTCGAGCAATTTTAAATCTATTGTCAAAGTATAGCACTTTAAGGGAAAATATAGCATCTTATGGCCAAAGTATAGTACTATATGGCAAAGTACAACACTTTATTTGGCAAAGTGTAGCACCTTATTGGCAAAGTATAGCATATTATGCTCTCTAAAAATTCTGCACCTTAAGTTGTCTAAAACCAAATCAGTTTTTTTCACCGCAACGCAAACACTCGATGACCTACGTTACGTCTTTATTGACCAATCATCCACCACGACCGGGGGTCCTCGCGGGGTCCTCCCGCAATTTTGAAGCTTTTGACAAAGTATAGCACTTTATGGGAAAATATAGAACCTTATGGCCAAAGTATAGTACTATATGGTAAAGTATAGCACTTTATTGGCAAAGTGTAGCACCTTATTGGCAAAGTATAGCACATTATGCTCTCTAAAAATTCTGCACCTTAAGTTGTCTAAAACCAAATTAGTTTTTTTCACCGCAACGCAAACACTCGATGACCTACGTTACGTGTTTATTGACCAATCATCCACCGCGACGGGGGTCCTCGCGTAATTTTGAAGCTTTTGGCAAAGTATAGCACTTTATGGGAAAGTATAGAACCTTATGGAAAAAGTATATCACTATATGGCAAAATATAGCACTTTATTGGCAAAGTATAGCACATTATTGGCAAAGTGTAGCACCTTATGCTCTCTAGAAATTCTACACCTTAAGTTGTCTAAAACCAAATCAGTTTTTTTCACCGTAACACAAACACTCGATGACCTATGTTACGTGTTTATTGACCAATCATCCACTGTGACGGGGGTCCTCGCGCAATTTTGAAGCTTTTGACAAAGTATAGCACTTTAAGGGAAAGTATAGCACCTTATGACCAAAGTATAGCACTATATGACAAAGTATAGCACTTTATTGGCAAAGTGTAGCACCTTATTAGCAAAGTATAGCACTTTATGCTCTCTGAAATTTCTGTACCTTAAGTTGTCTAAAACCAAATCAGTTATTTTCACCGCAACGCAAACACTCGATGACCTACGTTACGTGTTTATTGACCAATCATCCACCGCGACGTGGGTCCTCGCGTAATTTTGAAGCTTTTGGCAAAGTATAGCACTTTATGGGAAAGTATAGCACCTTATGGTCAAAGTATAGCAATATATGGTAAAGTATAACACTTTATTGGCAAAGTATAGCACCTTATTAACAAAGTATAGCATCTTATGCTCTCTGAAAATTATGCACCTTAAGTTGTCTAAAACCAAATCAGTTTTTTTTACCGCAATGCAAACACTCGATGACCTACGTTACGTGTTTATTGACCAATCATCCACCGTGACGGGGGGTCCTCGTGTAATTTTTAAGTTTTTGTCAAAGTATAGCACTTTATGGGAAAGTATAGCACCTTATGGTCAAAGTATAGCACTATATGGCAAAGTATAGCACTTTATTGGCAAAGTATAGCACCTTATTGGCAAAGTATAGCATCTTATGCTCTCTAAAAATTCTGCACCTTAAGTTGTCTAAAACCAAATCAGTTTTTTTCACCGCAATGCAAACACTCGATGACCTACGTTACGTATTTATTGACCAATCATCCACCGCGACGGGGGGTCCTCGCGCAATTTTAAAGCTTTTGGCAAAGTATAGCACTTTATGGGAAAGTATAGTACCTTATAGCCAAAGTATAGCATTATATGATAAAGTATAGTACTTTATTGGCAAAGTATAGCACATTATTGGCAAAGTATAGCATCTTA